GCGGGGGGGGCGGCTGCCGCTGCTGCAGCAGCAGTGGCGGCGGAGGCAGACCCGCACGACGAGCGCTCCGGGGGCACGAAACTGTGTCTAGTCCTGGGCTCCAGAGAGCCATCTCCTCCTTCACTCTGCTCCTCTGCGTCGCCCTGCACGGGACGGCCGTCCAGAGAAATGTTGCTGAGGAAAGACAGCGCTGCTTGCCTCCTCCGTGGGTCGATGCGCTTCCGCGTATGCTCCATACTCGGGTGCTTCATCTGAAGCGTGGCGGTGGATGAGTTGCTGCTGCTCGTGGCAGTCGCCATGGTCCACTTTCCAGAGGGTGATCCGACTCCAGCAGCAGCAGCAGCAGCAGCAGGGATCGTGCCTTCCTCACATGAATACTGTGTTGTTGCTGCCTGTGCTGGTCAACAGCATAGGCCTGTCTTTTAATACATGCGTTCAACTGGGTTGAAAACAGGGAGGTCACGTGTGTGCAGTATTGTGGCAGCACAGGGAAAATGTGGACCAATAGGCAGTCAGGAACCCGTGTGTGTTTTTTATTTTTTTTACCTTTTCCTGACTGTGTGTCAGTACATGTCCAGAATACACCCAACGAGCAGGAAATCAATGCAGGATCATCTCTACCTTTTCATTTAGAAATATCCCTCCCACCCAGACTACACGTCTCTCCCTGCAGTCTAGGCTTCATACCATTCCATGGTATTAAAAACTTTTGGGCTAAGCTTCATTGATCAGGAATGTGACTCAGACTTGGACAAGAAGCTGCAGACTGTGTCTTCGTCCTGCACAGCCAGGTGTATGCACCACGGTCTGTAGCTGCAGACAGAATGGGGCCAGGCCCTGTTCTCTGCTGTTTGTTTATGAAAAAATAGGTTTTAGCAAAATTGCACGAGTCAGCATTTTGCAGCAATTGCGCCATCTGTCTGCATGACACGCACTGCGTCTGGCTGCTTTTTGGCGTTCCCGAAACATATGCCATCTGGTGGTTTTCATGTGCTTTGCATTGGGAAGAGCTTTCTAAGGACAAATAAAGAGGAAATGTCCAGTTAACTCACACTGGTTTAAAGGTTACTTTTGAATTTACCTCCTAACAAAGGTCATATTGGTGTGTAAATAGGTGTGTAATAAGCGTTTATTACTGGGTCTGATACTTTGTCCTACCACATGTTACAGTCTTGATGTGTAAACATGCATTAGAAAACTGATCCACACACGATAACCTCATGAAATGATTGTGTTGCTGTTGAGGTCGGGGCTCTGAGGAGACCTTCACTTCCAGGATTTCTTGTTCTGCTGCATAATGCATTCAGGTCCTGTCTGTTGGTATCGGACGGTGGATAAGAATCTGTTTATATCCCTGACTATTGAGGAAACGCAGCACAAACCCCGTAAGAAACCAGTAATAAACCAAACAGTTGCCTGTGTTCTGTTGCTATTTTTCTGCAGCCCAGTTCCATCATGTTGTGCAGAGTTGAGTAACTTGTGAGACAGGGTTTTGTTTTTTTAGAACAGCAATTCTTCCAATGATCATGTCTAGCTACTCGTCTCTGTCTCTTCTTCAGTGTTAAGTGATATCTTCAGTGTTGAAGGAACACAAGGATCATGTCACTTTATCCACTAGATTCAGTTTATTTCATAGATTGTTCTAAGTAAATGCCAAGTAAATTGAATATATTAAATATAAGAAAGCTTAAAGGTTGGCCTCAACCGTCAAAAGGAAGTCAAGCAATGGCTTAAAGACAATACAAAATTTAATAAATGGTTACCAGCCACCAAAAATGGTTAAAGATTGGCCAGAAAAACCAAAACAATAACTTGTTTTTTTCTAATATATCCTTTAAGCATTTTTAGCATTAATAAAGTGATATCTATCTAAGAATATTGACCTTCAGATAAAAGAATAGAACCTTCTCCCTTATTGAATATCACTTTGATTCAGTAAAGTAAAAAGTAAAAAAAAAAACTCTCCTCGAATCATTTTTTGGCGTATAAATAAAATATTTAAAAAGCCTATCAATAAGAAAACAGATTTGTTTGTGCCGTGAGCTCAGTGCATAGCATTTGTGTGCCACAAGAGGTCTCTGTTGGATCTTAAACCAGCAGGGTGCAGTAGAGCTGCGCGGTTCCTGCTACTGTTTTACATATAACAGTTGTATATATTTGCATTACATCAGAGCTGAGAAAACGGTGTCGCTCGACCTGTGCCACATAGTTTAACTGTAAACGAATAAATAAAAAATAATGACCAATTGAATCCTTAGATTAGAAGTGTGATTAATCATAATCACTCGTGTTTTCACTGACTATTCCTGAAGTAATAACACTAGGTTATGGAAGCAGGATCATTGTAAACCAGAGTTTTGCACACATTTAACATTAGTTTTTGTGAAACTGTCTGTGGATCGTTGTTCAGACGCCTTTCTCTGCACAGACTTTATAACAATAAAATGTAGGAACTGCAGGTCCTTTGGCCCACGTTAATCTGAGTGTCCCATCAGTCTGTGCCGCGCCGCAGCAAAGGCTCCTGAACCTTGGTGCGAAACACTGAGCTTCCTGTGTTTGTGTGCAGTTTCCTACTCATGAAGTACTTCAGCACCTCATTGTCAGGCTTCATGCACATGAGGCTACTACGCTCACAGTGATTAAAGACAAACATGCCAGCAGGCCTCATAAATTATTCTCCAGAGTCATAACTATTTCACAATCTCTTAATGAATTTGGCCTAGTAATGGACTGCAGGTTCTAATAACGAAGGGAAGACTTTGAGAAATGGGCTTGAGGGTCAGGGAATATAACCTGGAAGGAAGAAAAGGGAGACAACAATAGGAAATTCATATTTAGTCATTCAGGTATTTATTCTTCTGTTATAGCCATGGAACCCAGCACATATTTTAAAAAGACGTCCAGTTGCTGACGTCAAACTATTCCTGGGAAATGGTTCACTTTTTTTTAAATAGTGTTTTGAGACAGGGCAGGATACAGCAATTAAAATGCCTGTGAAGCAATCAAGCTATTTCAGGGGTGGTAATGTCACTGTCTGTTTGCTGTCTCCCCCTCCTCCCCGTCCTCTGTCCCTCCCTCCCTCTTCTGTTTTCGAACAGTCAAACACTTGACTGAACAGTGGGGGTGCCCAAGCTGTGCTCCCCCCCCTTTAGAAGGTCCAAAGTGAAACTTGATGTAGTACCAAAAAGTATGCAGAAAAGATCATATACAGTATGCTCTAGTATCATAGTAGCAGCAATTACTGCACACCTTCAGAATACTGTAGTGACAGAGTACTTACAAGTAATAAAATACCAGATATTGTAAGTGCAGAATCTTGATTCAGAAGTATTACAGATATTGTAAGTGCAGAATCTTGATTACTCTGAATACTAATACTTTATAATATAAAGTATTAGTATTATCTAACCAAATTTAATTTAAAGAAAATCCTACATTACAACAGAACACAGTCCCCAACGCCCAGTGTGTCATTTGTGCGTCTGGCGGTGTCTTCGGTTTGCTCTGCAGCTACGTGTCTTACGGTACTGAGAACAATGGGTTTTTTGTATACATTGTACAGTATGTTTTGGTCCAAATTTTAATTTTTATACACCAAAATGTTCGGCCCAACTCACAAATAAATAGACCTGTTATTTTACAGTAGTAAAGAAGGAAACTGGCAGAGGTTAAAAAGAAAAAACAACTGATTAATAGATGGATTAGTTCTCATAAGTAATGTTGGTAACACTGCACATACATACAACATACAACAGTATTTAAAGCAGGAGAATCCTCTAATGAATTAAAGACAAAGGCATTGATCTTATCTTTCACAATAATAAAAATGTCAACATTATTGTATAGTTTCTGACACAGGGTTCTCCTCTGTTTCCCAGTCTGGAATCAAATCTATCAACATTAGCAGCTGTAGTCAGATTAGGTGTGTGTTGATGAAGGATTAAGATAAGAGGGAGTGTGTGAGGCCTCGCGCCGTGCTCTCACCCGGGGACGACTCATCGTAATGGGACCGGGGTCTTATCAGAGGAATCTAAAGAGCTCCCTGAAGTTCACCTCAGTTTAAGCGTTGGCTTTTGGTTGACATTTAGATAGCCTGGTGATGAAGTCATCAGTGAGCGCCATTCACTTTCACTGCAGTGAGAATTATGGGAAATACGTCAGATGTATGCTGGAGAAGGAAGCAGGAACGGATGTAGAATGATTTGTGAAAAAAAAAAAGATTTGTCTGGAAAAGGCTGGTGAGTCAGCAGCTAGTCAGGCGTTATTGTATATCTCCGTGGGATTTGAATTCTAAGTAAAACTTTTTGACACACACACACGAGTGGATCGTTTGGCAATAATTTTAATTTTTTTTTTACCAAACCTAAATTGTTATAAAAAAGTAGATTTAAAAATGATGATCATAAAATTTTGCACTATTCCTTTGTTGACCAAGGGTTACGTGTCTAACCCTGTGTCAGAAACTGAGCAGCTCAGGATCACCCTGTGTGTCTGACACAGACAGATATGCTTATCCTGGCTGAGTGTTAGTGGTCTGTAGTCCAGAGGGCAGGGCTGGCTGTGGTCAGTTGCACAGTTTGAAGATGGAGGAGGAGGAGGTAGGGGACAGGAGGCATGGGGAGGTGAACAGGGTCTGGAACTCTGGCCTGGGATTGATGACTCCGGTATCGGTCGCCGGGAAAGAGAGAGCCCACCCGTGCGCCATAGCCCCCCAACATCAAACATGTAGTACAATGTTGATATATGGAGATGGCCGGGCAGCACTTTCAACTGAGGCAGGCCAGGTCCATCAAAGGATTTATCTCCCCACAAGATTAAAGGGGGCCAAGGCGTCTGCCACACAAAGGCTTACACCAGAGGTCAGCCCAGGTCGCACACAGAGGAATACCTAGAACAAAACCACGTCTGTCTCAGGCCTGGCTGCTAATAAAAACACGATCATTCACCCTGATCGATAGACTCTGTCCTTAACCTGATTGTGAACGTACACTCGTACTCGTACAGTTGTGCGTACAGTCTCAGACTGCATCGGCACCGACCGTCTGTGAGACTCTGAAGCAGGCAGCAGCATTGATGTGTTTCAAAAACCTCCTTCATATTTCTGACATCTTTCTGGCATCTCACAGGATTCCACACTTGTGATGGAATCACTTTTTGAGAACACGAGGTCAGATATTTATATTCTTTAAAATTAATAAGCCAGAATATGAGTCACTGTTTTTTCTTTACTAATTTATGTCACATCCAGTAACATGTTTGTGTTTCTATGACCCCTGACCTCTTTCCTATTAATCACATTGTAATATTATATTTTTGGTCCTAAACTGAATGCGAGATTTTCCTTGTTTTTTTTTCCTCATTGCAAGATGTTTGTTAAAAAATTTATATATATATATATATATAACTCAAGGTTTATTGTCCTAATGCTATTATGTGAAACTCAATCATTATACCCATGTGTCTTATTTTATTCTAAACGGTTTGGACTCTTCCTCCTTTGTGCTCCAGCTCTCCTGCAGTTTGCACATGAGCCAAAAGTGGACATAAAAACACGAGCTGTCATCTTTTCCTTTTTTTGAACCGTTTTTTTTCCCTGCAAGAATTCCTCACTCTTGTTTTTCTTCTAGAGAGGTTTGTTCTTCTTTTTTTTTCTTTTTTTTTTGAGTATCAGCCAGTGTTTTTGGTACCATACTTTGCTGTTTTCCTTGCGACTCACAATGAAAACAGTCGTTTATATTCATTTGGAATGAAGTGGGTGAGAGACAGACTAAACTGGCAGTGAGATACCATCAGGCGCTGTGACGAGGAGAAGTGGACTCTCCCACATGAACATGGAGATTTTTTGGAGAAGTCAAGGCTCAGCTTTAAATCACAATCACAACACATTTGCAGCGGGAGTGTAGCTTTACACAGTTTCTTGCAGTAGTGTTTGTTTGACGTATAAAACTGCAGATGAGAGTGTCAGGGGATGGGGTCAAGGGGTCATGGGGTAACAGTGGAGAAAACACAAATACATATATCTAGGCAGTCATCTGTAATGGGCTACTAGAAGTGTATGGTGGTGTATTCTCCTGCACTGATGCTTCACTCTTCCTGGTTCTGTTTTCTGGTTGATAATGTAAACGAAAAATAGAATGGAAAATAGATGACATTCCTGTGCGATTAATTCAAAGAGCACTGGAGTAAAACTATAGCACCACCTCTTGGAGAAGATGGGCACAGTAAATGTTATAGATCAAGGGTCTACAGTGCATCACTTGCAAGCTACCAGCAGCTTGTCACCTCTTTTCAAGTAGCTCACCAAAAGGCTAATGAATCGAACAAACATTTAAAATAATTTGTATCCAATCAAAATCGTCCGTTCTCTCTCCCCTTCAAAAACAAATACTTTATTTGCCATTCAGCTATCAATTAAAATTTGCTGTTAACCTTGATTAGTTGGTGGTGATGTGTGATGCTCTG